ACCTATAAGATAGGCTCTCATCAAGTGCTTCCACTTGGCAAAGTTAGTCCCATTAAAATGAGGTAACTTGTCCGTGGAAACATCGATAAAAGACCTCCGATCATGGTTAGTCATAGGAATAGAAGAATGGTTAAAGGATACAACGGCATATTTGTTGTTGTCGGCCTTGCCCTTTCTTTTCTTCTCCTTTTTGTTCCCCTTCGACACTTGATATGACTCATCATCATCTCAATCTTCGGAACTACTTGAAATGCTTTATGATGCACTTGTTGTCTTCTCTTCTTCTTCCTTCTTCTTCCTAGCTTCTCTTCTTTTTTTCTTGCTTCTCTCTTGAGCCTTCTTTCTTCTTTTCTTTGCTTCTTCTCCTCTAACCATTGCTTCTCCTTCTCCTTCTCTCTTGCTTCTCTTTTTAGCTTTCTTGCCTCCTTCCTTCTTCTCTCATTCTCATTGAGAGCTCTTTTGGCATCGGTAGCCTCAAGATGTGGTAGCGTAGTGTTGTTTGCTAGTCGACGCGCTTAGCTCGCTGCTGTCCATGTCGACATCCACCTACTTCACACCACTAGTTCCTCCTCCGAGCTCCATACCTCATGCAGTGAAGCGTATATGAGGTAACCCACTCCAATACCACTTGTAGGATCTTTAGTTGGCCTAGAGGGGGTGAATAGGCCTGTCAAAATAAACACTCAAACTTTTTATCAAATTCATCCTACGGCACTGCCACTCTAGAGGGCGGCACTACCGGACTACGGCACTGTCGGACTAGAACAACGGCATTGCCGCACCTGCAGATAACTTCGAGTCACAATTTAAAATCAGTTAATGGAAGCTTAGATTAGAGAAACTTCTCAGCCTACTATAGGTATGATAGTCACAGATCAAGAGCTAGAAGTTGTAGGAACACCACACATGAGTAGATCGACTAGAAACCCTAGAAATCACCTCAACCAACAATATGAAATGTAAGTAATGTAAATCAAGCACAAGTGACAATGATTTATCCCGTGGTTCGACTCACCACCAAGGCTTGCCTACCTCCACATTGTTGAGATTAGCCACTAAGGCTTAGGGCTTTCTAACCCTTCCTCGTTCTCAAGTCAAGAGACTTAACTCTTGAGATGAAGGGTGAGTTTACTAGCTTCAAGATATGGTTATAAACCTCCTAGAGCTACCACACAAGTTGGCAAGCTCTACGGGCGACGCTCTAGCCGGCTAGGAGCCAAGCTCCAAGAATAACAAACACAATCATCGGCCAAAATATGAACCAAGTGCTCTTTTGAGTTGAGGAATCAATAGAGCTGCTCTCTAATCGAGTTTTGGACCCTTTTCTCTTAAGGATTGATGGGGAAATCAATGGATTTTGCTTGAGGGCTAAAGGTCACTAATGGAGGGAGAGAGAGAGAGGGGCTCCTTTCTGTTTTGGACAAGCTAGAGTGAGGAAGAAGAGACAGAGAGCCATTGGAGAGGAAGGGATGGGTATAAATACCCCCATCCCCCAACGATCACTTAAGTCGTGGCAGTGCCACACCACGCAAGACAGCAAGGGTAAGAGTGAAGTGTAGATTATCTTGGATGTGAATCTGAGGATGCATGTGTATGTTTGAGCACTTGGTAGCACATATTAGCTTAATCATTGTGTCCCCATTTATAGTACGGCTTTTGCTATACTCAAATTTAAAATATAAAAGAATTTAAACATCATTTGAGTTTGAAGCCATCTACATTTGTAATTGGGGGCTCCTCCGTTTCGTGTAGCATCCACGAACATGAATTCCCTGCTTGTCATCTCGATAAATCTCATTAGTTCTCTAATTGTGTGGTCATTATCACAAAACCCACAATTAGGGCTTAATTGCACTTTTCACAATGTTTTATCTATTTTTTAGACGTATGTTACAAGTATGTTTATTTGGATGTTGCATATGTCTCACACATATATTGCAAGCGTTTATCTGGATGTTGCCTATGTTTTACTATGGTTTTGAGGTGTTTTTGCAAATGCTACATATGCATGTTCTAAGTGTTCCATCTGTCTTGAGATGTATGTTGCAAGTGTTACATTTGGATATTTCAAAAGTAGATCAGGTGTTGCATCTTGCGCCTTCCTCATTAGTTCTCTAATTGTGTGGTCATTATCACAAAACTCACAATTAGGGCTTAATTGCACTTTTCACAAAGCTCTGTTTTATCTATTTTTCAAGATGTTTAGACATATAGTTACAAGTGTGTTTATTTGGATGTTGCATATCAAATGTCTCACACATAAAATATATTTTGTTTTAGTGATCAAGTGTTTATCTAGATGTTGCCTATGTTTTACTATGGTTTTGAGGTGTTTTTGCAAATGCTTCATATGCATGTTCTAAGTGTTCCATCTGTCTTGAGATGTATGTTGCAAGTGTTGCATTTGGATATTTCAAAAGTAGATCGGGTGTTGCATCTTGCTCCTTCCTCAATGACCGCCTTTGGAGCACGGACGCGTCTTGCCTCGGTGTATCCACCTTCTTCTCGAAACGACGGACGCCGGGCTTCAGCGTCCGGTCGGTTGGGCATCCTCGAGTTTGAAGCTGGCGTCCAGGCGTGGCATGACCGGCACCACCCCTCCCCTTCTTCTCAATGCCCCATGGTGGTGATTCTTACATTTTCATGGACATAGCATGGCTTAGCCAAAGCCCTCCCACTCATCTCCATCATTGATCCATCATCATTGTGATGAGCCACCGCATTGCTTGAGTGATTGCATCTAGAGGCACTTGGTATTCGTGTGTTATGCGCTGCTGGATTTCGGGGTGGTTGCCACCACCTCACGGTTGGACATGGGATCGCAAGGGTATTGTTCGTGCGCTTGATTTGAGGGGAGTTGTACTTCCGAGATCTAATAAATTGCTCGACATTGAGTTACCTCATGTTCCTTAAATCGGATGGCCCCTCTTAGCCGCCGAACCACCAAGTGTTGGTCAACACAACGGGGACGTAAGCGTGTTGGCAAGACGTGAACATTGTCTCTCCATTCTCCGGTGATTGGCTATATATTCATCTTGTGATTGGTTCATCCCCTACACGCTGGTATAATCACTCTACTCTATTTACATTCTTGAATGAATTGAATTGGACATGTGTTACATTCATCTATTGAGCCTTTAAGAAGGTGGCTCTTAGTGATTGAGCTTTTGTGTGCCTAAGTATTCATTGGGTTGTGCTTGGCTTGCAGTCTAAAAGTTATATTGATCATATCTTAATATTACTAAACCTATTAGGAAATAAATGCAAGGATAGGTGCGCTTGTTTCTTGAGATCGGATGGCAATGTTGCTTCTTCCCGCATGTTTGTCACAATTATGCAATTCAGCTTGCGATTTCTATCTTTTATTGCACTTAATAGATTCTATTCGGAAATAAATGCATGATCTTCGTTGCAATGTTGTTCATCTAACGTTTGTCAAGGATTGATCCTTTTGATCCAATTCTTGCATCTAACGTCATTTGCCATCCAAGCCATCCATCTGCCACCCGTACACTTGGGCCTAGCCCACTGGATCCGAAACCAATAGAAAAAAGAAGAGTTAAATGCACCGTAGCTCCATTAATTTTTAGTGGTGTGTCATCTAGTTTCATTAACTTTTAAACTATATTTTTGGGTCCATTAACTTTTGGTGGTGTGTCATCCAGGTCCATCAACTTTCAAACTGTATTTTTTGGTCCATTAACTTTTGGTGGTGCGTCATCCAGAGTCCATCAACTTTCAAATTGTATTTTTGGGTCTCTAAACTTTTTCCATTCACCGTAGGTCCATACCCCTTCGTTTAGCGAATAGATCTGATAAGGCACGCCAAATAAGCATCCATCGTGGAGTAGGTGATGAGTCCATAGCTTCTCAAGATGTTTATGGAGACTTCTCTAGCAATAATTCAAATGTAGCGGCTGTAATTTATTAATATCTTCTGGTCTTAAATTTAGAACTATTATTTTTAAGGATAAATATATTGTGGATATAGAGAAATTTACAAGTGCTGAATTATCATCAAAGATATTTTATAGAGGTACCTTATTATAGCGTGGAAAGGAGGAAAAAATAAAGCCAATAAAATACATCAGTACTAATTCTAAAGAGGTGGAGATCATCAATGAAATTTTCCCAACGTGATTAGCATCCTTGCCGTAGTATTTTATTATTTCTATACATTGGTTTTCTATCCAGTTGTGATACACGATCTTTTATCTAGCATCTAGCTTTTAGTGTATGCGTGTACCTGTGTATGTGAATCAAATTGGTGGCTACGTTTGGACGTACCATGCATGTTAGCCGAATTAGGGACTCAGCGTCAATCGGTTCTAGTTGGCCGGTGGAGTCTGAGTTTTGTTTGGGTCAGGTGGCCTGACGTGCCTATACATATAGTCTTCGGCCTTGTACCGGGTAGATTAGACTGGATTTTATTGTTGAATTTATTCTCCGTTGAGCCGCCGCTTGAGAAACTCTAGATGATGATCCCATCAGGTTCATCGTATTGAAGATTATCTTCGGACGGTGATCTCGTCTTGTACTCCATGGTGGTTGTTTTTTTGACGTGTCATGTCAGATCTATTCGTTAAACGAATGGGTATGGACCTACGGTGAACCAGTTAAAAAGTTTAGACCCAAAAATACAATTTAAAAGTTGATGAACCCGAATAATATACCACCAAAAGTTAATTACCAAAAATATACAGTTTAAATGTTAATGAACTTAGATAACATCACAAAGGCTAATAAACCTAAAATATAATTTAAAAGTCGATGAACCTATATGACGTCCCAGAGAGTTAATGAACCTGCATTTAACTCAAGAAAAGAAAAGAAAATATAGTTGCAAAAGCATCTCCCGGAATCAAACTGCACCACGTCGTCAGTCACGCTCACGCACGCTCACGCAAACACGACAAGCGGAGGAAAAGAGGGCGGAGCACCAAAGCGAAGCAGCAGTTGCGGTTGCGGCGGCGGCGGCGTCAGTGGCAGTGGCGATGGCGATGGCGATGACCGCGAAGCGAGGCCCAAGCGGCGATGAGATGCGCTGCTCTGGTCACCGCGCGCGCGCCCGCCGCGTCGAGGAAGGAGAGACGGACCATCCTTCCGCCGCGGAGCTCCGAGCCAGCCTCTCCACCAGGGATCAGGTGCGTGCGTGCGTGCGGTGTGCGCCTGCGCGCGCGCGTGTTTTGCAATGTCGCCTCCTACCTTGCGTGAATATAAGGACTCGCTCGAGCGATTAAGGTCTCGTATCGTTTGCTTTGGTACGGCAGTGCTTATGCGTGTTAGGGTATTGTGTGGGCTGCAGGAGATTGAAGAAATGAGGAGGCGGCTGCGGGAGTTGGAGAAACTCGAGTTTGAGATACCACCCGCCCCATCGCATGGTAATTCGTTTTGCTAATAAACACACCATCTCTGTTTGCCTTGTTGGTGTAAGTTGACCACTGAAGTAAACTGCGGGTACCGGGATTTTATTTATTTATTTATTTTTGCCAGACATCATGCTAATTTAACCATTTTAGTGGTCTGTGACTGAATTTTTGGTGTGGTTTGTTTGCCAGAGCATGTAGTTTGTTCTGGTGCTATGTAGTTGGCTTCAGTTTACTGCCTATAAGTGACTACCTTATTCTATTTTTAGCCTGTTTGAGGAGATGTTGTGTTATGTGGTTGCAGTAAGAGCGGTGGATGATGCATATCAGCATTCTCATGTGTTGTGTGGATTGACGAACATTATGTCTTTTTGCCTCCATCATTTGTTATGTTGGTCAGTGGTAGTATTTTGTACTGAAATACATAATGGTTGATATATTGTGATCAAAGCATGATTAGTATTGTTACAATTCAGCAAGTAAGCTTGGTTACTTATCGAATGCTTGTGCTGCAGCTAAGCATTACTTTGAGTGGCTGTCATAATGATCAGCCAGACTGTCGGCGATGCTTTTTGCAACCACATTCTGGCATTGAACATCTCAATTGTGTTACAATGTTGTTCATGTGGTCAATTATTGCATTTCTAGATAGAGTAATCGGCGACATCAGGCCTAAGCTGCATTTTGATGTTTGCATAGTGTTACTTGTAGAGGCGGAACCAACAACTTTGATTAGGGGGGGCCGGACAAACATAATGACACATCGTATGTGTGATAAATATGTACATAAGTGTACATTTCAACATATTTTTCTATGCTTCTACATATGTAGTTAGTGTTCATAACAAAAAATCACAACATTATGATAAAATACGAGTTAAAATGGGCTAAATATGCTTTGTATTGTATTATTAATAAAGGTATTAAAAAAATCACTCACTTTTTTTTTTTGGGGGGGCCCTGGTTCCGCCTCTGGTTACTTGAGTCTAGGATTCAATTATGAGCCCTGTACTACTAGGAAATATGTGTGAGCTCAGAACTGCTAGCAAAGAGAGTCCCATCTTAATCCATTATGGCTCTTGCAGCCAAACTTTTTATTTGATACAGAGTTCAGTGCATACTCTCATGAGGTTACACTGAAAAAAAAAAAAAAAAATGCCATTTGGCGGAGGTGGTTTGATCATTGCGCAAGAGGCGAGTGCGCCATAAGTGCTGCTCGGCATGCTTGGAGGAGACAACTGATGGATGGTTCTTTGTTCTGGAAGACTACTTCATTCTGGATCTTCCAAAGTTGCCTACAGCATAGAAGGACGAGGCATGCAGCATGTTTTAGCAGCATGCATTGGGTATCTGGTTCCTGCTAACAGCATTTAAGTAAACACTGAAAAAGATTATTGTGATGTATTTTGTCCCTTAGCTACAGTTTATTGATGTGATAGTTGACATTTCCATCAGATGAACTATATATGGTTTTTCTCTCATGTGGGCATGGGCACCCTAAGCTACAAGTTTTCTTTTCTGATAATACAAGTATTTATGCATACAACTATTCTTGCATAGGGCACCACAATGATGCTAATGCTATATGCCTATATTCCATAGAAAGAACAATTTGTACACATAGAGACAATGTGACTAAAGCAAGCAGTAAAGCTTACGCTCAGCTGAATTACTTGCAGACATCTTTTTCACCTCATTAGTACTTCTACAGTTCTACTTCTGAAAATTTATAGGCAGTGAAGACAAACTTTCAGATGATCTTGTTTAGAAAGTGAGTTCTGCAAATATTCTGAAAATAGTATTGTGTATAAAGTATATGCCACATACCATACCTCTGCTTATATATCTACTTAATTCGTAAGTCCATCTATATTTTTATACAATCATGGGTACTGATTACATAGCTTTGTTGCTGTGCTTGAAGTATCTTTTTCTTGTTACAGGCTTCATAATTTCTAATTGTGAGTACGGTGCAGTAGTTTCATTTTTCTCAGCCCCACTGCTTCAATGGAATACTGCTCCCATTTTCCCACTAAGCTATATAGCTGTTTACCTCTCTTTTTATTTGTTTGTATTTGCATTCACAGAAGAAGAAATCTGAAACAGCTGTGGCAGCAACAACAGTTGACAAGGCAGAGGTGGATGTTCGCTCCATCTATGTTGGGAATGTGAGTTTTCTTCTCTTGTCCTAGTTCTATTCAAGCATGTCCTAAACACCTGACAAATGTTCTGCAGCTCTTGAGCAATGATTATGTCACTAAAATGAACTCCAGTTGTTGTTGAACTTTGACTGCCTATGTTCTTTAGTTACTGTCACTGTTTCTTCCTGTGGCTGGGGTTTGTGGCATCTTATATAAAAAAAAAGGCGCGTACCCAGTGCAGAGAGCTCCCGCTCTGTGCGGGGTCTGGGGAAGGGTGTCAGTGGCAAGCCTTACCCTCACATGTGCAATGCGAGGAGACCGCGACTTGAACCTGGGACCTTCCGGTCACAGGAGGTAAGAGACTACCGCTTGCACCAGGCCCGCCCTTCTTGTGGCATCTTATATGTTTTGAAAAAAAAAATACTTGTCCCTTAAAAATGCATTAAAATCGGCAACATGTAGTTCTTAGTTTGCTACAATTGTGGGTAAGATGTAAACCATGTGCCACCTTGCTTCAGGTTGATTATGCTTGCTTGCCGGAGGAAGTTCAGCAGCATTTTCAGTTTTGTGGAACTATCAACAGGGTGACAATCTTGACAGACAGCTTTGGTCAACCCAAAGGGTTTGCTTATGTGGAGTTTGATGAAGTTGAGGCTGTCCAGAATGCTCTCCTTTTGAATGAAACAGAATTTAATGGTCGTCCTTTGAAGGTCCAAAGGACTTGGTTTCAACTTTCTAACATTTATTTTGTCAATTTTTGTCTAATCTTCATTCTGCATGTAGGTTTGTCCAAAAAGAACCAACATTCCAGGAATGAAGCAATCTAGGGGAAGGCACTCAGTTCATCCTTTCTATCCATCGTATGGGTAAGGAGTTTTTCTTCATGAAGATACATTAGAGTTGCAGTCAATACATTATCACTTTTTGAGGTACTTGAGCTTCTCTACCATTGAATCTGGGCCAAATGACTAGGACTGTCATTTGTGGCATCTCAAACTTAACACCCACCCCCCTCTCTCTCCTACCTCTCATCTTTTAGAGGTAACGTTTATGAAACACCATATCCATTTGTGTGTGAAAATCATGCCTTATGAGTCATCCTGGGGAAAACATGACTGAAAAGTTCAAAGAAGTTGACCTGAATCCTGGGGAAAGCATGACTAAAATGTTTTTAGTGAAGTTGACCTGGGAAAGCAAGCCTTATGATTTATGAAATGTGGATGGTTTCCTGATTCATCCTGAATGTTATTTCTAATGTTTGTTTTATTTGCTCTGCAGGAAGGTACCAAGATTCAGGAGGTTCCTGGGGTACAGCTACAGCCCTTACTACTAATCCTACTGGGTTGATGTGATTCACTGAGCCACTCAGTTTTCTAAAGCTAGCAAATGTCCCCAACATATCGTGGTACAGAACTATAGTTCCAGTATTGTGCATCCTGAATAGGCAGGGCCCGGAAGACTGAGGTCTTACATAGTTTTTTCGTTGTCGTAGCTCCCTTGAAGACCGACCTGTAATAACATGTTGGCAACCTTCTACCTTAGAAAATGGTGTGTTCGCTTATGCTGAAATGTCGTGAGAGGAAAACACTGTTCCGTGGCTGAAAAGTAGTGCTGTATAAGCTCAAGCGAACAAATGTTGGACCGTACTTTTTGTTGAGAGCCCTCTAGTTTGATCAGGAAGTTGCAATGGAGTCTATTTTCTGATATCCAATGCACGTGATGTATGCCTTTTGGTTTTAAGTTAGGTTCCCTTTTGAACGTTGATTTCTTTTTTTTTCTGTTTTCTGTGTTTTTCAATTCATGTGTTCCAAATGGGCTCTTAATCCAAATGTTCTATTGTTCTATATCGACGGCTGTGTTGCACTACGTACTTACTGAGAGTTAAATGGGTGCAAATTTGCTCTCTTTTTTTCACCTTCAGGATTTGAAAGGTTCTGTCCACGTGTGCTTAGATACGTCGAATACTTCTGAGCTTAAATATTTCTACGTCAAATACTCGTGTGCTTAGTATTTCATATTTCCAGGGTTCCTACGTCGAATACTTCTGAGCTTCTTACTTTCTGGGATTTCAAACTTCCTTTTCTGAAGTGAGATTTCGGATTTCATATGCCCGAAAGCTGCGCTACATCAGCAATAAGCAGCTTTCTGATTTGCGGTTTGCCATCGTAATGCTTCCGTTTCTACGGCTGTGCTTCGCTTGTGACAGATCTGAGGCATTTCCTTAGCCATATGGAATGGCATTCATGCAACACAGTGTCAGCTAGATGCACGCTTCAAAGCCTGATACAGGCTGTAGAATTCCCGTTAGCGCTGCATCTTAGGAAACATTCCTGACTGACTGCAACATGTAGTATTGCAGCTCACAAAACAGGGTGAACCTCAGTGAAATATAGAGATTCCATATGCTTGCTCACCGAATATCTCGAATGCAGCGTTAAACTAATCTAGCAACTGGACGGTCACAACAACAAGAGTCTAGCAAGCAAACTCAACAACAAAATTGACAACGAGCAGATGCCATTTGAACAAAGCTGCAGTGTTTCAACATAACAGCAGCAGCTCATCATAAGTTCATAATTCATAACACGAGTAATTCACTGATTACACCTGAGACTTTCTAATTTCTAATTAAAACCTCGTCCTTCCCCCTACCATATCCCTACACCTACATCCTTTGCCCCAAACCCCTTGTTCGGTTCAATTCACCATCCATACACAATAAGATTAAATTGCTACCAACATCATCATAGTCAACAACTACTAGCATGAACAGCAGTTAACACAGAGCGAGCAAGCATGCACACAAGGTTCACAGAGCAGCCGGGCTACATGGATCGATCAGTCCTCTTCCATTGCGGCAGAGGAAGGGGAGACCCTGGCCTTCTTGTTCTGCTGCTGCTTACCGAGGAAGGCCTCCAGGAAGAGCTGCTGGGCGTCGAGCATCGTCTGGGTGCGCTTCATCTCCGACTCCATCCATTCCTTCTCCATCTGCAGCGAGAGCTCCAGCCTGCGCTCCTCCATACGCAGGAACCCCTCCCCGACCTCCCGCAGTGCGGCAGCCACCTCCGCCATGGCCTCTGACTCGGCGTCGTCCTCGCCGCCGCCGCCCCTCTCCGGCTTCACAGCTGCCACGGCGGCGGGCTTCGTGCGGGAGGCCTTGGGGATGGTGAAGCGCAGCCCGCTCCCGGCCCCGCCGTTAGAGATGAGCCCGTGCAGGCTCCTGCTCCGCACAGCCTCCTCGGAGGAGGAAGGGGAGGACACGGGGGAAGGCGGGGACGCCGGCGGGGCGGGGCCCTTGGTCTTGATCTTGACGATGGCGTTAGGGCTCGGGTCCGGCACGCCGCCACCGGCGAGGTCGTGCAGGAGCGGGAAGAATGGCCACTTGGGCCCCTTGGACCGCCCCGCGGAGCGCGACCGCTCAGCGCGGTATCGCTTCCGAAGCTTCTCGATCTTGTGGCGGCACTGCACGCCGGACTTGTGCGTGGCGGTGGGGAACCGCCCGCAGCGCGCGGTGACGGTATTGGCCACGGCGTCCCAGTCCGCGGCCCGCAGGTTGCCCTTCCGCAGCGCCACCCACCTGTCGCGGTACGCCTCGATGAGCGCGAGGGTCTCCTCGTGCGTCCAGCACGGCGGCGGCAACCTCCGGCCGGAGCCCCCGCCCCCGAGCCCTATGCCTCCCCCCGAGGAGGCCGCTGCCGCGGCCGCAGCCGCCGCCGCGGCGACGGGCGCGGCCAGAGGGGGCAGGTCAGGAGATGAGACGGCGTCGTCCCTGGCCGCGTCGGAGGACGAGGAAGACATGGCCGGTCAGCTGCGGCGGCGGCAGGCGGCTAGGGTTTGGTGGTGGTGGTGGTGGAGATGCGGAACGGAGGCGGAGGTGGGGAACCGGTCATAAAAGGAGGAGGCGGGGCAGGGCGGGGCGGTGCGGTGGTGGGCCGCGGGCGTGGGCGTGGGCCGCGCCCCCGCGGTGAAATGACCGGCTGGGGAGGGCATCGCCCACCGCTGCGGCCGCGTGGGCGGGCGGAGCGGTGCGGTGGTTTTGCTTGCGGGGTTTGCCGCAGAGTCGCGTACTCGCGGCGCGCGGCGGATTCCGGATGGATGAGGTGAGGGGCTGACCGGCTGAGGGCATGAGGCCATGAGGGAAGGGGGCGCGATGGAACGGCACCAGACCACGGGAGTACGGCGCCGCATCGTGCCGAGCCCGTCCCGTGGTGGGCGTGGGCGCGGGAGCCCGCCTCCGCTGCTCCGCAGCCGCGCGGCGTGGCCGTGGGCCGTGTTGGATCGGGATAGGTGGTTTGGGTGGGTGGCGACTGGCGAGTGGCGGCTATAGATGGCCAACGGGACTGCCCAGCTCGGCCCGTGCCAGGCATGGCTCGACGAGGGTCGGGCCAGTACGGCATGTTGTGCCTCCCGAGCCGTGCTAAAGCAGGCCTCGTGCCTGGCCAGCGGCCTAGGCATGGCCTGCCGGGCCAATTTTTGGGTCGGGCTGGCCTGAAAAGCACGGTCCGTGGTATGGGTCGGGCCAGCCCGCAGCCCGAAATAGGTGAGAGAGAGAGGGGGGAAGGGAGGGTGCCGCTCGAGCGGGATCTGGAGGAGGAGGCCGACGCCATTGAGCTTGATCCGGAGGAGCAGCTCGAGGCCTTCACTGCACTCGACACATGTGCTCGACGCCGCGGCGCTGGAAGAGGCGGCCAGTGAAAGCGAGGTCGGCCAGTGGTGCGTGGGGCGATACGACTGGAAGAGACGCCTGCGTGCTCGAAGGTGTTGAGGAGACACCGCCGTGAGGATGGTGTGGAGGAGGCGGCTGGTGCTGCTGGGTACGAGGTCGTGACGCACGAGCGGGGCCGGGGGGCGAGGAGTCGCGCGACGTGACTCGCGACCGCGACCGCAAGAATCCAGAGGGTGTGCGCACGTGCCGCGTGCGGGGGATAGGAGAGTGGGAAATGAAGTTAGGGTTAGGGAATAGGAGGGGGAGTGGTTGGGTTGTTAGCAGGCTGCAGTGGTGCGGTGGGTTGTTAGCATGCTGGTGTAGTCATCGGGCCAACTTCGTGCCTACTTGTAATTTCGGGCCGGGCCGGGCCGAGCCGCCCAGCGTGCCTGAGTAGCGGCCTAGACACGGCCCTAGGCATCAGGCCGGGCTGGCTTGGGCCCGTGAAATATCATGTCGTGTCATGCTCGTGTGAAAGCTCTAGTTTGGTTTTGGTGAATTGATGAAACCCTAAGTGCTAACCTAGTTTATCAAGTGATCATGATATAGGTAGCACACTCAAAGTGGTGAAGCAAATGAAGATCATAACATGATGATGGTGATGCCATGGTGATGATCAAGTGCTCGGACTTAGAAAGAAGAAATAGAAAAATAAAAGGCTCAAGGCAAAGGTATAAATTGTAGGAGCCATTTTGTTTTGGTGATCAAGACACTTAGAGAGTGTAATCATATTTAGGATCGATAGCCGTACTATTAAGAGGGGTGAAACTCGTATCGGAATGCGGTTATCAAAGTGCCACTAGATGCTCTAACTTATTGCATATGCATTTAGGATCTAGTGGAGTGCTAACACCCTTGAAATATTTGTGAAAATATGCTAACACATGTGCACAAGATGATACACTTGGTGGTTGGCACATTTGATCAAGGGTGGTGAAGTTTAGGTGCAAGGGTATGAAACTCCACCGGCGCCCTAGACAGAAAAGACGAAGGTCACTGTGAGTGACCGGACGCTGGCCTCGGTTGGACCGGAGCGTCCGGACAGTGGCAGCAGAGGGCGTGCGTTTCGGTCTAATGACCGGACGCTGGGTCGCTCAACGACCGAACACTGGCAGGGTGCGTCCGGTCAGTGCTGACATACGCTGACATAGGGCGTATAGAGGAGACGTTGTGTGACCGAACGCTGGGCTGTGTCCGGTCAAGCTTGACCGGACGCGTCCGGTCGGCAAAAATAGGATTTAGACCCTTACTGGAAACGACCGGACGCTGAGGGTCCAGCGTCCGGTCAACTGTGTCGGAGCGTCTGGTCAACATTTCGACCGTTGAGATCAAACGTTCACAGTTGAATGCAGGTGACACGTGGCCGCCATCAGGCGACCGGACGCTGAGGATCAGCGTCCGGTCAGTAGGACCGGAGCGTCCGGTCAGCCCGATCAGAACCCAGTGAAGGGGTATAACGGCTCTATTTCGTGGGGGCTTCTATTTAAGCCACATGGCCAGGTCAAGCTCACTCGCTTGGCCATTTTCATTGACATAGCAACTTTGTGAGCTTAGCCAAAGCCCTCCCACTCATTTCCATCATAGATTAAACATCTTTGAGAGATTGGGAGTGACCCAAGTGCATTGCTTGAGTGTTTGCATCTAGAGGCACTTGGTGTTCGTGTTTCGCTGCGGGATTCGCTTGTTACTCTTGGTGGTTGCCGCCACCTAGACGGCTTGGAGCAGCGAGGATCGTCGAGCGGAGGGTGGTGATTGTCTCCGGCTCCGATCGTGGTGATTGTGAGGGGTTCTTGACCTTTCCCCGGCGGAGCGCCAAAAGGTACTCTAGTGGATTGCTCGTGGCTTGTGTGATCCTCATCTCATGTTGGTTGTGCGGCACCCTATTGAGGGTTTGGCGTGTGAAGCCAATTAGCGCGTGAACCTCCAAGTGAGTGAATCGCCACAACGAGGACTAGCTTGCCGGCAAGCAAGTGAACCTCGGTAAAAAATCATTGTGTTCATCATTTATTCCGAGGTGATTGGTCTTCATTGTTATCCACACTTGTGATTGATTGGTTCATACATCTACACGGCGGTATAACCTTCTTGCCTACTCATTACATTACCGCAAACTAGTTGTCAAGCTCTTTAGTGTAACTAGTTGTGAGAGCTTGTTAGTTTGGTTAGTGTGGCTCTTTAGTTAGCTATTGAGAGCACACTAACTTAGTGTAGTGATATAGCTATTGTGTGGATATACTTCATCTAAACTAGAATTATGGTAGGTGGCTTGCATTTTGAGTAGGCTAGCGCAACACTTGCTTCGCCTCATAATTGTCTAACCATTTTGTTAAGTGTTGTTGTAGAAATTTTATTAGGCTATTCACCCCCTCTAGCCATTAGGACCTTTCATCGTGCCGGGCCAAAATAGCAGGCTTCGTGCCGTGCCAATAGGCTGCGGGCTGCATGGGAATGGACATCTATAGTGCCGGCCACGCCCTGCCTTTTTCCCTCGGTTCCGCGCGGCCTCGGCCTGATCTTTATTCTTTCCGAAAAATCCAGTCGGGGGCGTTGTTCAGGGTCTGTTTGGTTGGGCTGTGGCTGTGAAAAAAGCTGCTATGGCTATGAGCTGTGAGAAAAGCTGTTGTGAGCTGTGAGAAAACTAAAAACTGTTTGGTTAGAATGGCTGTGAAGCTGTAGGTTTGGTAAGAAATGTATGTAATGCCCCTGAGGCCTAAACTGCTAGGAGAATGCTGACATTCAAATTTATTGTAAAACATTGTTTTGTTCACTAATTCGCATGCAAATTACTATTTTAGAAAGGGAAAATTAATTTTCTTAAAGATTTTCATTCACCATTAACATATGGTCCACATAAATGAAATTATAGAATATTACAAAAGACATATGGTTCACATAATGATGTCCTTCTTCAACATAACTATCTCCTCTCACACTAACCAAAGCATCGGCTATCCTACTACGAATGGTATTCATGGTGTCCTCATTCTCTCCGTCTTGATTGTCATCTTCTTGTGTGTCTGCCGTGGCACTGTGTTGTAGCAGGTACTCCTCATCACCATCACATCTATCGAACAACTTGTCTTCCAAATTGGTGTCACGAATAAAATTATGCAATGCCATACAAGCTAGAATTATATGCTTCTGAGTTCGAGTAGGAAAACTTAGAATGCCCTTTAAAATACGCCACTTCTGCTTTAAGACCCCGAAAGCCCGCTCAATGACATTTCGAAGAGATGAATGCAAGAAATTGAACACCTCGTTCTTCCCTTAAAGAGCATGTCCATTACGAAGTCGAAACTCTAGTATATGGTATGTGCTTCCTTTAAAAGGAGCAAGATATCCTATTCGGTTTGGATAACCAGAGTCCACGAGATAATATTTACCTATAAAACCAAATTAACAAAGCCAAATAACAATAGAAATATTGACAACCAGTAACAAAACACGCATACCTTTAGGAGGCACGGGAAATGAAGGAAAATTTGCTAACGCATGGTTCAGGATGCCTGTGTCATGTGCAGAACCTGGCCAACCAGCAACCGCAAAGATAAACCTTATGTCAAAATCACAAACAGCTAGCACATTCTGAGATGTGTAACCATGTCGACATGTGTAGTTGACCACTTCCTCTGTTGGCACTACTACTGGAACATGTGAACCGTCAATAGCTCCAATAGCTCCTTTGAAATAAGGCCAGAAACGTTCCTCCTTGACCTTATCATGCTCAGTACAGAAAGTAGGATCTCTTGGCTTGATATTGTCTTTTGCTAACTTGCGCAGGCAATTCAGTACTTCGTGAAATTTAGTGTGAACTGTCCAGAGTGACCGGGTAAAATAATTTTTAGCTTGTGAAAATGATTCGAGTCCTCCAACGATCCACAAGAACAATGCCAATGACTCCATTGATGATACATTATTAGTTGATGTTAAGCCGTAGTTCCAGATTAGCAAGTCATGCAGTGCTATGAAAACATCAGTGCTCATTCGAAACATCTTATAGAAGTACCTCGGACGACCCATGCATCTCATAACCCATTGAAGTCCAGTTTCTGGTGTTTCCCTATACTTTCCTTTGTGCAAATACCGCTCAGTG